TTATTAAGCTTGCAACTTTCAACTCTTCCATCTCAAAACTTTTAAAAGTATAGTAAGAGACTAAAATTTTAATATATTACCTCTTATCTTTGAAATTATCCTAGAAACTTGAAAATAAAGTGCAAGATCAACAATGCCATCAAATATAGAGGTTTCTTACATTATTTTGTTGATATTTCATTAGCACTTATTTTGTTAGTTTAGTATGTGAGAAGTCACATAACCAGAGGGGACCATTACATTACATTCTGAGGCTGCCTGTTTACAGCAGGCAAAGTATCTCAAAAAGCTAAATAGAGACAGCCCTGGATAGAACCAGGATGATAACCACCAAGAAATCCCAGGACTGCAGAAGTTGAAAAATGCAGCATTGCAATTTTGCATTGGAAGAATGCAATGGTAAACCACATCCATACTGCTGCTAAGGAAGCTGTAGTATGAAGTCACTGGAAACTGAGCTTGACTTGAGGGACTCTACCTTATCATTCTCTTTTCTACTTCTCACATAGACCCCTATATCAAACTGCAGTCTTCTCCATCTATCTCCCACATAAATACCCTCTCTCCCTCCCTCTCTCTCTCTCATTAACAGCTATTACTTAAGAAAATATGAGTTGTGACTATATTACTAGTACAACATTATTTGGAACTCCTTATCTAAAACTCGTGTGCAAATTATCTGGAAGACCCTTTATAATTTTTTCAGATGTGCATGAAATTTATCTTTTTCATTAGTATTGCTCAGAGCTGATTTGTTCAGTGAGCTACGGTAACACTCCGATATATCTTTCTATTAATCACCACCAATTCAGTTCAAGTCAATAACATCATTTTCTGCACAACCTAATACTGTATGCATTACTTTGGTATTACTAACACTGACCACATTTTCCACTTCGTTGTATGTACAACTTTCCTGGAGCACAATCTGTTGATTTCTATTCTAACAGTCTGCAAATACAAAGTGATTGGCCCTTGCCCCAAAGAATTTATAATCCTTAATTTAACACAATGGAGACATCAAACAAAAGGGAACCAGAATATAATGGAGACAGAAGCAAAGTGGGAAGAATAGGCATATATCTAATTAGCTGTATACACATTTTGGCAGCCATAAATGCAGTATACTTACATTAATTCTGAGGCAGTACCATTACTTGGTGTTTAAAGGTAACAACCAATGTTATTTTAAATTTGGGAGACTGGCAGTCATTTCAATAATCAAATAGTCCCAAAAGACTGTATTAGTGGAAAAGTTCCCCAGAAATGATAGAAAAATAAGTGACTAACTTCCATGTTGCCAGTAAGAGTCATATGCTAAGCTATAAATCAGACTATAGAAGAATTAAAATACTATAGGCATTGATTTTTTAACAAAAAATGTTTTGATCTGTTGATACAGAGTTAGTCAAGATATTCCTTCACATGCTTCTTCCTTTTCCTTCATTTATCATCGTTCCATGTTGCCAGTAAGAGTCATATGCTAAGCTATAAATCAGACTATAGAAGAATTAAAATACTATAGGCATTGATTTTTTAACAAAAAATGTTTTGATCTGTTGATACAGAGTTAGTCAAGATATTCCTTCACATGCTTCTTCCTTTTCCTTCATTTATCATCGTTCTTCTGCCATAAAGGCAAAGGAGACCACTAGCATTGTTGGTGCCAATCAAAAAAATCATACATTTTTCCCCTTTATTTTATTTTGTACAAAGAGATACTAAAGAATGTCTTGTTTGGGCTAATGCCTCCCATAGTTCTAGCTAACTTTCTTGTATTTAAATGGATCAGCAATTTAAAACATTTCCCACCATTCTCCAAGAACGGGAGAATGGAATCAAGAACTTCTTCCAGTCTGTGAACCTGGTCTTTCATGGATAGAATTATCCTATCCAGAACAGGGCAATTTACAATGCCATCTCAGACTTTCTTTTGACAAACATCTTCCTGTTCTCTGGATATAAGCTTAACTAATTCACATACTCCATGACTGAACTAAGGCAATATTAATAAAGAGTACTGTATAAGGTGCTTCCTTGATATTTGAGGACCAAGAATGAGAGTATTTGTCACTTGCTACCTCAGTGCTCTACATATCCTTTGGCGCATGGCTAGTGGCATGTTTAGAACTCCCATTTACCCCTCTTCTCTGTTTCAGATTGTTTTTTTAACCCGTTCAATCATGTCCGATTCTCGAAGACTGCCTGGACAAGTCCCTGCAGTTTTCTTGGCAAGGTTTTTCAGAAGTGGTTTGCCATTGCTTGGTTTCTAGGGCTAAGAGAGAGTGACTGGTCCAAGGTCACCCAGCTGGCTTTGTGCCTAAGGCGGGACTAGGACTCACAGTCTCCTGGTTTCTAGCCTTTTGCCTTAACCGCTACACCAAACTGGCTCTCTTTCAGATTGTAATGGCCTGTAAAAGTCCTATTCTCTAATTTCTTGATTGTTATTCAAGAATATTGGCTTTTACACTAGATCTCACATTTGTCCGACTTTTTAAAAGTGTGCTAAATAGTAGTATGAAAGCCAGTTTGTTGAAGTGGTTAAGGCATCAGGCTAGAAACCAGAGACTGTGAGTTCTAGTCCCACATAGGCACAAAGCCAGCTGGGTGACCTTGGGCCAGTCACTCTCTCTCAGCCCTAGGAAGGAGGCAATGGCAAGCCACTTCTGAAAAAGCTTGCCAAGAAAACTGCAGGGATTTGTTCAGGCAGTCTCTGAGAATCGGACACGATTGAACGGATTTTAAAAAAATAGTACTTGTATTTTAGAAACCTAACCCAGGGTTGGGGCCCATGTTGGTACCTCACAAAATGACTTCAAGCAGCATAGCTGAAGCCAAAGGCAGGGGGGAAGGAGTGAAAAGGAAGAAGTTGGCCCTTGGCCCTGATCTGAATTGGGAATGCAGATCTGAATCTGGGCCCCCATTTGCTTTTTCCTCCAAATAAATGGGCTCATTTAGCATACTTTAAAAAAGAAAGAAATGTTATGTGAATAATGATTTCTGTAATCTTTTGTCAAAAGATTTTGGGAATTCAAAGTGCACCCTGGGAAAAACCGATTTTAAAGGGTAGTAAATTATACAACTAAATTATTACCAAAGAGCTGATGAGGCAGATTTCCCTTTTAAATAGCAATGCTGATTCTTCCTTGTCTGTATTTTTCTTTCTTCTATATATTTACTTATTCTAGCTTTAATTATGTTTTCCAGAAATTTAACCAGGACATACATTAATTTAACTGGACTATAAAGCCTTGACTCGCTCACTTCCGTTTCTTTATAAACACTTGGATTATACTGACAAACTTTTCTTCCTTTTGTTGGATAAGTTTCAAGGAAGATATTTCTTTGCATTATAATGGTACATGTATGATCAAAGGAGATAAAGAAAAACACATTTTTGAAGTCAACATAGGGAGGCGCTAACAATATACAGGTAGTTCTCAGTGACCATTCACAGCTGTGATGGTGATGAAAAAGTAACTTGGCAACCAATCCTCACATTTATGACCTTTGCAGGTCTGTAAAACCAAGGAAAGCTGAAGTACAGGTAGTCCTCATTTAGCGACCACAGTTGGGACCAGTAACTTGGTTGTTAAGGAAAGCGGTCACTAAGTGAAACAGCAATTGTGCTTATGATCTTACTTCAGCTTTCTTTTGCTTTACAGACCTGAGAAGGTTAAGGTTGTAAATGCAAGGATTGGTCATAATGTTATTTTTTCATCATCGTCGTAACCGCAAACAGTCGCTAAACGAGGACTATCTGTAAGATCATAAGCAGTTGCGGTTTCAGTTAGTGACTGCTTTGCTTAGCAACCGAGTTGCTGGTCCCAACTGTGGTCACTAAACAAGGACTACTTGAATGGGGATTATTTGCATGGGCAATAAAATATTGCATAAGGAAGTATCCTCAGATAGGAGGCCTTTTTTAAAAAGAGATTTGAAAATCACTTATTGAATCATACATAAATGGTATCCAGTTATTGGAATTCTGATATTGGGGAAAGTTGGGATATGATACTGAACAGAGCTGGGGGTAAAGTTAGAGGTTTTCCTCCAAGGACGAAAGCCACATTCCTGGATTTATGGGTAGGACTTCCTGCAGGATGTGTCCGACAGGGGAACTGATTCCTCCAACACCATGTATAATAAGCTATTCATCCATTAAAAGGGAGCTACTGCTTCTAATTGTCTCGCCCCCAGAATGAGAGGCACCTTCTGTCTTTCTGAACACTCACGTGTGAACGTGTTCACACACGGGCTAGAAGGCTGATGCACACCAACCTGAACGAGGCAGGGACCCTCGCTTTCCTCGCTGCTCACCAGAAGTTTCATGCAACATTCAATCGGGCGGTGCGGGTCAGGTGAGAGGCTGCCTCCGCAGTCCTGGCGCCTCCAACCTCGCTGCTCCCTGAACGGCCGAGGGGGGCTTCGCGGCCGCGGAGCAGGAGGAGGAGTTGGAAGAGATCAGGGGTGAGTTATAACTTGTGGAACCGGAGAAAGAGAAGCGAGGGAGCCGCTGGCGAGCGGCAGGATTGTTTGCCTTGCGCCAGAAGGAGGGTTGGAGTCTCTCCGGCTCCCGGCCCACACCTGCTGTCCGAGAGGGGGTGCGACCCTTGCTGCCTGCCCCTCCCCGGCCCCCCGTCGGTCCCCTCCCCCGGCCCGCTCAGTGGCTGCTGCGGCGAGTCGGGTTCCGACAAAAGTTTTGAGCGAAGCCGAGCTCGGCAACG